GAGTTTTTGGTTTAAATATACTAGTGTTGTGATACTCCAAGTTTAAATATGTTTACTAGCAGACCTTGCAGTCGAACATTGTTCTTTTTAGAACCTCTTTTAGTGCGAAGTGTACAAAATAGCTTAATAGCCGTAAAAACTCATCCCAACTTTATTTGAATATTTTGAACGGGAAAGCGGTAGTAATGGCCTTTTATGCTCCTAAAGTGCTGTTAAGGAGGTGAGTTTTGTTGATGTAAATAATAACTGTTTATATATTTATAATTCATTTATTTTTGTTTCCTAAAATATTTTGATTAAAAGGAAATATGTAAAAGTGGGCAACGCTGTGCCGGTCAAGCTTAATCACGCGACTAAAAGTTTATTTGATATGAACTAGTGATGGGAAAAACCGATTAATTTCAATAATCGAGTACTCGAGTTTCAAGCGATTGCAATAACCGAGTGATCGCTCGAGTGAAATATTACTCGTATTTAAAAATACGATTTTTCACCCGTCGCTTGTTGTAAGTACTCGTTAAAGCCAAGCGCCAAGCAGTAAGTTGCGTGCGCAGTGATGAATGGCAAGTAGCCAGCGGTGAGCGATTCGCTTGACAGCTTGACGCTTGATTTAGTTTATTTCAAAGCGTTGTCAATGTAGGTGCTACCTGCAATATATGTAGAAAATTCGCTCGGCTTTTTATCGAGTATGACACATTAAAATCGGATTTCAATTTATTTCATTCTAGGATCGCTTGCGTTCGTCGCTTAGTACTCGTCACTTGCATCGCTCGTTCATAATCGAGCGATGTTGGTTATTTCAATAATCGAGTACTCGAACGAATTTTCGCTCGAGTTATCCCATCACTAATATGTATAGTCTATAAAATGAATAACTTTGAATTTTGACCGTTATTTTTTACCAACATGGCAAATATAAAATCTCTCTGTTCAAAAAGTTACTGATATTCTTTAAAATGAGTGCCTGAACGAATCAGATAGGTAACTCTTTTTACTTTCGTGAAATAGAAAAGGAAAATAATAAAACAAGTGACAGTTCTTCCTCTTCTTGCAAAAATCAACGCGAAATGTCATAACTGACAAAAGTAAAATGTCATCAGCCTTTGACATTTCTAAATATCAGACCAACGCCGTCTCTAATAGAATAGCCTCGGAGCGAGATTTATGACGTCACGCTAGTTAGATACCGCGGATTAATAAATATGTTGTAGAATACATGGAAAACATAATTATTCCTCGTATTTTTGGTTTGTATTTTAAGAATGATATAGTTTACATGAAATATACAGTTAATAAATGTTTTACAATATACAAATAATGAATAGGTACATAAGATAATGGGTAAAATGTAAAATATATTTTAAATTTTGGGGTTTGAAAATCGATCTAATTTAACAAAAAACATTCAATATCTACTAATAGTGATATATTATTATTTCCATTCACAAAATTTATATGTATATTTTGCAAGCATCAATGTTCGAAAAATTATATTTGCAAATAATACAATATCATAGAAAAAAAGGCGTCAGCGATGGCTATGGAATAAAGATCGCTGTCATTTTATTTGTAAAATTATTCTAAAATTTTTGATTTCCTTGGAATTTAGGTTCGGGAAAAACGCTGATTAAGTTTTTATTTGGTTTTTCATTATTTTTGTTGGTTTAAAAAAACGTTATAGTTAACGTTTATAGCCTTCATCAGTGTTGTGTCATATGAAAAAAATAGTGTCGAATATAATCCAAAAAATTACATATACGAGGAACAATTATGTTTTCCATGTATTCTACAACATAATTAATCCGTAGTATCTAACTAGCGTGACGTAATAAATCTCGCTCGGAGGCTGTTCTATTAGAGACGGCATTGCATCAGCATGGCCGCAAGTTGCTAACCTAATAAAATTTACACTAGAAAAGCCCGCGGGAACTGTCAAATTCAAAGTTATTCATTTTACAGACTATACATATGAAGTATAGGTTTGTCTACCACATTGAATAGCTCATAATACATTTCATGTAAATTAGAACTTTCATATCATAGCACTACTAATTAGGATACGCCGTTTCCCTCAAGTAGTTCTAAAATCAACTTGTTTAAATTGCTTGTTCTAAAACTACTAAGAGTATTTTTTTTGGCTTTTTTATTTAGTTTGCTAATAATTGAAATAAATCAAATATTCAAACATAAACAAGTTTTAATTGAGAACACAATATCATTTAAAATGTAGTACTTCGTTTTAGAATTTTGCATATTTCTGTTTGATCCCTACATTGCAGTCAGCTGTTGTGAAGTCCTATTGTGCCTATTGTGGTTAATCCTACAGTTTAAGAGATTACGGTTGTTATTACATCAATAGGCTTGTTGTAAAATTCATTGTAATAAACAGTAAATTCTATATTTCTGTTGGTTTAAACATATTGGATATAGATACATACTAATACTGCTTTTATTCGACATATTGTTTACAAATTTTTTACAAATTCATATATGCTTTTTTATGTTTTACTAATGCAGAACTGATAAATAACAGAAATAAACGGATCAATATAATACATAAATAAATACCTAATCCTTAACATGATGGGGATTCTTTTATTACGACTAATTTTTATTTTTTTAAGTTTGGAATATCTGTTGCCCACTATACCGTGCTGGCAACTGTTACTCTTGGGTCGGTATTTACACGTGTGGAAGTAAATCGCATAGGAATCTTATTAAGTCGGAGTGAGAGAAATGCGACGGAGTGCTGTTGCGGCGTTGCCGGTACGCCTTCCCTATCAAATAAAGTAAAATCACGATCGCAAACCGCTTATTTTTAAAAGACTTTTTTTCGAAAAGATAACTAGATAAAATCATTAGAAATGTTTCTGAGCATTTGAAATGGAATTATAAGGATATTTTTAGGGTGTAATTTTTTTATAACGAGAAAACGTCAATAATCGCGATAATTTAAAAACTCCACTTTTTAACACAACACGCCATAACTCAAGAAACAATTTAGATATTGAAACTTTTTTTTATTTTGAAGATATGATCTTTTACAATATGTTTACATAAGAAAAATTCGATAAGGTTGTTTTTTCCATTCAAAAATGGTAAACAACCCATTTATTTACTTTTAGAGCATAGCAATTTTCAGCAGTCGTGTAATTTTTTTATTGATAAAGATTTTCACTTACTGTCTACGAAGAAAATACAGCAGAAATATTAAGAAAGTTTTTGAAAAAACTACAATCAATTATTTCTAATAGATTTCGAGATATCGATTTTTGAATTCAGAGTTCTAATAGCCCGACCACTGTCAAAAACCAACTCAATTCCATTTATTTTTACCTAAAATGCAAGTGTTTCTAGCTTGCACTTAAAAATTTTCAAGCTATAGGAAAAATTACAACGACTCGTTAATAAATAAACAAATAAAATTATAATAAAACAAAAAGTTATAATAAATAAACAAACAATCACGAGACGTAATTAAATTGTGAAGCTGAACGCATGATGTACACCTCTCCCTAGAACTTTAAGTACTGACAGAGGTACTGATTGGGTCGACCCATAAAATAATTAACTAGAAAGAAGTGTCAACTCTGTGTTAAATCGTGGAAACACAATACGCCACCGAAAGACTTCGTTGTCGTCTGGAGAACTAATTTTCCAATTGACAGGTTGACATGATAAGGACATGATGGCTAAATTTTCATTTCCGTTTCCGGTTATTCAATGGCGGGCCCTCTTTCAGTTCAAATGTATTTTGTATTTTTTCTTTTCATAAATAAAACCAAAAAATAATTTATTCACATATATTTATTTGAAATATGGAACAACGTGACTAAATAAATATAAAAATATAGAGGATTGTATTGTTTTAATACCAATTAGTTAATTATATGCACTTTTAACGTAAATTAGTTAAGGTATAAGCATGACTTACAGTAATTTGTAAATAAACACACCTATTCGCAGACTTCAAGGACAGAAAACGGACACAGGAACATGAAAACGGGAGCCTTATAGAAAAACCTGAAAACAGAAAAACAATTTTTTTTATACTAAAATTAACAATGTAAAAATATCAATAGGTATAAAATATAAATATACTGTTTAAAAAAAGCGTCCATTATTCCCAAAGAGACCTGGCTTATAAATCAAAAAGAAGCAAAAAGAGACTTTTAGTCGGATAACATAATCAGATTATCAGTCCGATTTATTGCATTATTGACAATAAATCGCACTTACTGGATGGCTATAGTTAAAAATGATCTTACCTTGCTGTAAATTGTTTCCATTTTCAAAAAAATCGCCGATCAAAGATATTATAACACCATTTTCTTGCATCTTAAAAATGTAAAAACAGTGTTTATTTACTACCTATTTTTCATATACATGGGACATACCTACTACTGCAGAAACGTCATTTTCTCCAGGATTCTTCATGTAATATATATTTTATATACTTTATTACCTTTATATTTATAAATTTCAGCCGAAATATTAAATTGAACTTCCAAAACCAAACTAAACGGAATGAATTAAAATGGCGTCGAATATTTTCTAATTTGTTCTAGAACAAATCTGAAGTTGTCTCTGAAACTGAAATCTGTCAATTCTAAACTGTGAAGTTAGACAATAGTTAGACAGAAACAATGCTGTCCTTGTCTAGGCGGCCATACTTGTCGTGAGGAGAATGACAGGAATGACACTAATGACTGTCACCCCCCTGGGTCGACCGGTCAACTGCGACAAATCTGCTATATCCCCTTCCACGTCTCTTAGCAATGTGCACAGTTTCTCGATTCATTTTATACGTTTGGCAACGTGTTTACTGTTCCCTCTTTGTTCAGTACAGTATAAACCCATTGTACTCTTCTTACATACGGAAATCTCGACCCAAGACTAACCTTTGCCAGACCTTAGTATAAGCACTCTAAATAAAATTTTTGTTATAATTTATGTTCTTAAATATTGTATTTTAAACATTGCAATTTGTTATTTTTCAGTTTCCTAGGCCCCTGATGCCTCAAAGGATCAGGAAGCATGGTGGTTTGATTCTACATACTATTGTAGCTGTCTATATGTTTATTGGCCTGGCCATAGTATGCGACGAATATTTTGTGGCATCTTTAGATAGAATATGCGAGGGTAAGTCTGTCTGAACCAGCAAGTTTTAAATTCCTAAATTGATTAAACTTTATATAGCTTGAAAAAGTAATATCAAACAAAGAAATATGTTTCTATATGTCAGATTAATAAAATTGTTATAGTTACCAAAGCAACTCAAAATGAAAATATATTAATAGCATTTTTTAACGCAACAAATAAAATTAGGAAACTCGATATTATGATTAAAGGATGTAAAAAAATATTGCCCAAGTTAAAAAATCTTTCGGACACTAAAAATAAAATTTTAAAAGAGATGTATATCATATATTCACACATTATGTATATAAAATTATTTTTTGACTAAGCTCTAATTCTATAAAAAAAAACATATTCGGCTTAAAATATGAAATATTTGTTAGATACTTTATTTGAAAAACATATTTAGATTGTGGTTAATACAACATTATACTATTATTTTATTTTAATAAAATTAAAAATAAGATATTTTAATAAAGAAATAGGAATAGGAACTAATTTCTCAAGCCAATTTTATACTATAATAAATTGTGTTTTATAGAGGTTTAAAAAATGCTGTTGAAATTATTGACTGCTGGCTATTCTACACCTTTAAATTTCGATTATAAAAATTACCAGACACTATCAAATATTTATGGACATTTTATCGCTATAAAGATAGTAAGATATTGATTATGTTTTACATTGTAAAGATAAAAACTGTCAATTATCATTACTGATAGCAAAGCTATAAAAATACGAAACTTAGTTATATAAATAACATTATTTATTATCAGAATGAAAGCTAAACATTTCTATTATTTTTATCTGGATTGATAAATTTAACTTATTTCAAAAATAGCAGGTTAGTCGTGACTGACTATGTTAAGAAAAAAAACTCAAAATTTAAGTGAGGATGCAGTCAATAATCACCACATAGGCTAATAAAACTACTTTTTCAAATTTGTCAAGCTTTCGAGAATTTTATTCCCATCATCAGGACAGTTTGACTGAGCCAATTAGCAAAAATTCATCCTCTGCACAAAAAGGCCTTAAAAACTAGCATCGTATGACATTGGAATACAAGGACATTTCCTTTATAAAATATTAAAATACATATCCAACGACATTACTTTTCTTTTAAACACAACTTGACTAAGTCACTGTTTGATCGAGCTCGAAATAACAATGTAGAAATTGGTTTAGTAAATTTAAAAAAAATCTTTTTTGTTTTGTGTTTAAAAGAAAAGTAATGTCGTTGGATATGTATTTTAATATTTTATAAAGGAAATGTCCTTGTATTCCAATGTCATACGATGCTAGTTTTTAAGGCCTTTTTGTGCAGTGGATGTTTTTTTGCTAATTGACTCAGTCAAACTGTCCTGATGATGGGAATAAAGTTCTCGAAAGCTTGACAAATTTGAAAAAGTAGTTTTATTAGCCTATGTGGTGATTATTGACTGCATCCTCACTTTAAATTTTGAGTTTTTTAACTTATTTCTATTTTGAATCGAAATGATTTTATAAAAGACTTTTGGTCTGCTGTATTATTTTTTAATTTGTTTAAATTTATTTAGTAGTCATGTGTTAAGAAGTATATGTGGAATAAAATTTTAATTTAATTACTAAATAATACATTACTGATTTTTGATTTTATATATACTGGATGCGTCTCAAAAGTGGCTCATCTCTTTAATTTTTTTTTAGATAAAAAACCGAGATTTGGTAAGTTAGTATATGACATAAATTAGGATTGATTGACGTATTTAATTGTTTTTGGTCACTTCCTGTTTCACCGGAAATGACTACAACTTTTGATTTTTATATGACACCTTCGGTATATTTTGATTTTATTCGATAGAAAATGACACTCTCAATACAATTACATATCATATGTCCACTTTTGACATTTTCATTTAAAAAAAAATGTTAAAAACACTAATTTTTAATAATGGAACCTTGGAATATTATTTGATCATCTAATGTTTTTCTTGTCTTGCCCTGGCCTGTTAAAAGATGGCCAATTAGTATTTTTAGTCATATCTCATTTTTTTTTCAAATCGAACAAGGGTCGCTCACTAGCATATTTAGAAAAAAGTATTTTTTACGAATAATTTGGCACCACACACTTGGTATTTCGAGTCAAATTGTCGCATGTTACAATTTCAAATAAACCAAATGCCGAAATGTCAAAAGTTGATATATGATACGTCATTCTATTCAGAATGTTATTTTTCTTCAAGGATACTATATAGAGATAAGGATTGTTCGATTCCTATCCTCCTGCACTGTCAGTTTTTCTACGTCATCTAATGACCCAGTTGCATTTCGCGCCAAAAGTTTTAGACAGTGACAGTTATTTTTGCATTTGACGGAGGAGTGCACAGTGCGTTGGAAGATGAATTTAGCGGGACAAAAGCGTTTGGTTAGAAATAAGCCAAAAAATGTGTACTGTAAGAATAAATAGTAGACATTCCAATTGATATAAAAATGCATGAATATTCTTTGTATTTCGATACATTTTTATCAACCAAATTTGGTCGTTTTCTGCTCAGCAAGGCAGAGATCATACGAAAACAAAATATTTACAAGTGCTTATACATTTTATTCCAAAGCCAAATTATATTGAAGAGTGCCAAAGGTATGTACTTTTCTACTGTACGTATATTATTTGTTAAAATCCTTTGTGCCTTTGTCCTGCAGATATCAAACTTTAATTTTTTTTCAAATATCGATATATTGAATGATGTAGATCTTTTGAGTTACCAATAGTTACCAACACAGGTAGTTACAGTCACAGGGAGTTCAAGCTTAACAGGTGAATGCCCAAAAAGTTTCATTTCAATCGGATAGTATAAAAACAAAACAATAACTCCATCAAAAGGCACTGAGTTTATAAAATTGTCTTAGATAGTTACTATATATGAAATTACAATTACTGAGTGTTAAAATTAAAATTAAAATATCTATCTTAATTAATATTTATAAAATAAAATATAATTTTTTAAAATAAAATATAGAGGGTGTCACAAGATTACAAAGTAATTAAAAAATAACTGCTAAAGATTTTTTTGTAAGTATTTCACCTGATATCATAATTTTATGTATTTGGCAATAGTTTACAATACGGTTTTTGTGTGTCATGTACGAATAATATCATAGTTTTATTATCTTGTATTTATTTATTAATAAATTAAGTTGTTAATAAATAAATAAACTTAACCATATAGTTGCTATATATTAGACCATTTGCTACGTTCTTAGATTTTAAGTCCCAAACATTGCTCTTGAGATTTTGTCCCGCTAGAATAACCATCCGCCGCACTGTGGAGCGCTGGTCAGCGCGTGACGTAGCATTCCACGGCGACTACGACTACGACAGTCCTTGATTTTCCTTCAAATAAAGTAAAAAATACCGTGGGTGTTATTTAAAAATCAAAAGTTGTAATCATTTCCCGGGAAACAGGAAGTAACCAAAAACAATAGAATACGTCAATCAATCCTGATTTATGTCGTATACTAACATACCAAATATTGTTTTTTTTATCTGAAAAAATAAAAAAGTTACAGAAACCACTTTTGAGACGCAGCAGGTGGGTATAATGTTATATAAAACAGCTTTAGAATATTTCAGAGAATCTAAGAATGAAATAAGATTAGTTTCATTTAACAGAAAATATTGAAAAATTATTTGAGAAGTACTGGGACATTCATAGGTCCAGAACTTCTGAGATGCTTCGAAAGCATTTATAAAAAAGGTCACGGGACCAGTGGGTGACTAGAGAATCTCTAAAACGGTGGAAAATTCATCAGGACAGAGGCAAACCAAAACAGTTCACAGTAGAACAGAATTTACGACAGTCCTGATAAGTAGATAATTACCAGGAAATTGTTACAAACAGAACATATTGCAAGCTCGATAGTAAATTTAAAGTTGATGGTATTGGCAAACAAAGTCATATGCAGATTCTGTCAATCAGATGAAGAAAGAGCAGAACAGGTTCTATGTCAATGCGCCAGCCATTCAGCCAGGTTCAGTAGACAAGTAGTAGCTTTTTGAGAAGAATGCGACTGGAAAATGCAATCTAGAGATAAGAAAACGGCCTCAATAGGTCTGTAAAAGTAGTGGTGGAATATTTCAATTAGCCAATCTTATAAAATCTAATATAATTGTTAATAATTAATATTTTTTCGTAATTTACAAAAAAAATTGGTCAAGTGCGAGTCGGACTCGCGCACGAAGGGTTCCGTACCATTCATTATCTATACGACATTAGACACTATATTATTATAAACTTTTTTTCCCATTCAGCTGAAATTTTGAATCCGCGTATAAGTAATTTAAAAAAAAATGAAGAAACACATTACTAAAAATTGTATTAATCAATAATAAATATGTAAAAAGTAAAAATAAATATGTAAAAATATGTAAAAATAAAAAAAACGATTAAAAAAAGTCGCCTTGACTAGGATTCGAACCTGCCTTTCTACGGCTCCAACGTCATAGCAGCGTAAACTCCTAACGCTTTAACTACGCGGCCACCGAGGACTTGAAAGATTCTATGTAAAATTCTTACTTAAAAGATAATGTTTAGTGAAAGTACGTTTTTATTTATAAACATTTATTTGATTCTGTTTTTAGTATTTGTTCTTATAGCGGCAACATAGATACATTATCTGTAAAAATTTCAACTGTCTAGCTATAACGGTTCATAAGATAGACCTTTGTGACAGACGGACGGACGGACAGCGAAGTCTTAGTAATAGTGTTCTCGTTTTTACCCTTTGGGTACGGAACCCTAAAAATGAAATAATAAATTTTACTCTATTCTTGCTTCATCCTGTATTTCCTTAATTATCCCTCTTGGCGTTTTGTTATAGTTTGTCTACATTTTATTTAAGAAGTCGTTGTCTACATTTTATATCAGAAATGTTATTTTTATAACGATAAAAACAATTGTCGAAAGAAAAAGAAGGAAATGTAAAGAAACTTAATGGTTTTCCTTTCGGCTGTCCAACTCTTAATATAAAGGACAGATCATTTCGAGTTATGTCCTTCTCCTGTCGAAGGGATTTCAATTCCGATTCGAAAGGCTGGCCCAAATTTCATTATCCCCATGTTACAGCTGAGTCGGTACAGTTTCCCTAATAATTTTATTTATTGAAGGAAAACCAAGAAAAACATTAGTCTGTGAATCTTTAGTATAAATATTATTTAGTTTTTTAAAGATGGATATGTTTATTTTTTGTGGTGCATTTTTAATTTTTAATAAATATATTTGACGAAAAAATAATAATTTGACAAAACACTATTAAAAAATGTCTATATCTATGTGGCGGATTCATCTCTCCAAAAAAATCCTATATGGGTATTTCGCCACTGCAAGAAAATCTACAAAATAAAATAGTTATTTTTTGTAAACACTGTTGCGTTAATCGAACGGAAACTACTTGTCAGCAGTTAAGTTTACAGATAAACAAATTTGCCTAACAAACAAAAAAATGCTTAACGTTTCGGAAAGTTTATCTCTTTCCGTCGTCGGAAGCAAAAGAATACAAAAAAAAGAAAAAAAACTTTTTAAAATATTTTTAAATTCAACTATTCGAGAACACTTTAGTTTTTTTTAAACAGATACGTCTACAAACTACAAAAACCGTTGACGTTCTATTAAAATGACATTATATCAAATTAAACTTCAAAATTAACAATTACTACCTGATAACAATTACTTAATAAGGTAAAACCAAAAAGCCTCAAACTTTCTGTATGATTATTTTTAATAAATACATTTGACGAAAAAATAATAATTTAGTAAAACATTATTAATATGAACATTTAATATAAAGTTCAGGAAAAGTTTTAAACTTTTTTACTCATGATTGCGGACCATATTTGGTCAAAACAGCACAATATAAAGTGGTCGAAAGTTCGAGTTGTCCACAGGCAACCTCACTAGAAAAAGCGTAAATTTAAAGAAGCCGTTTTTACAGCAAACAATTATAACATTTTTAACAATCCTAGTTCGGAAATATCTACGATATGGCAACCACTGCGATAAAATGCACCAATGCAAGCATTCTAAGTGGATAACCTCACAGTTGACTGTACCCGACTTCATCAATAATTCATCAAGATCTGCTACTTTCGAACAAACTTTAATGTTTAGCACAAACAACTAATGTAACCTACCTTATTTCAAAATTAATAGTACACCGTATATGTATATTAATTCTAATATCGATCTTACTTTGAAAACCTCGTACGTTAATTTTTTGGCAAAAATTATATTTATAGCCTATTTCCATAAAGAAGACCACATATCTATTGTACCGGGTGTCCCACTAAGAATAGCTCCCGGCTGTATCTCAGAGAGTATTAGCCGTAGGGTTTACGGAAAAAATATTTATAACTAAAGGGGCTATGAGAAATTGCTGGAAATTATTTTTAAATTTGTAGAACGACCGCTAGGGGGCGCAACTGCAAGAAAAAATATGAAAATAGAGTTTTTACACAATTTTGCCTAGATAAGATGTACTATAAGTAATAGTTTCATAATCTTCAGTAAATTATGAATATTTTTTGTTAGAACCATTTTCCCCTATCAAAATAAAGTGGTGGGGGAAGGTTAGATCTGTTTTTATTTAAATATTAATAACTCTGGACTGGATGATCGGAATCCAACAAGCGAGGGCTCGTTTAAAAGAGTGTTTCTTACTCTATATTATACCATATAAACAATAATAATAAACTTTTGAACGTAGACGCTAGGGGGCGTTGTCTTACAATTTAACAAACATTGCGCGTTTTTTCAAAAAAATTAAATGCAATAATATATGTAATTTTAGCTGATAGTAAAGAGTAGTAAAAGCTTAAAAAGTCAGCGAAAACCGCATCTTGATATCTTCTTTCAAACCGAAGATATTAGCAAAATTATAATAATTACCAAAAAATAAGCCCTAATTACCTTATTTTTACAACACGGTATCAGTAGCCCTCTTAATTATGCCCATTCTAACAAAAAAATAAGATAGAAACAGTTAGTTTATTTTAAAATCGACGAAATACCAGAATACCATAATACCAGATGTATTAATATCTAATAATAAAGATATTAATAACAGTCAACAAGAAACGATGATTCAGTGAAGTTATGGTAGGCTTTGGAAAAAGTTGCTTTTGACCTAATAGTATAAACCAGGGGGGTGACAGTAAACCGGAAAATTGGAAACAGTTGTGGCGCGGTTCTACCCAGGCAGAAAGCATGGCCTTCTAGACTGTCCTAGACAAAAATCTGAATATTTCTATATGATTTCTGTCAATTTCTGCTACGGAACATTTTTATGCACGTCGGCGTCCTGTTCTTTTGTCTTTTGTCTGTGTGTCAGCATCAGCTCCCGAGGCCTCTGGCAAGGTCGGGCGCCATTTTAATTTTTGCCGTTTAGATTTGATTGGAAGTTTGTTTCTGATATTTCGGCTGAAATTTATAAGTACAAAGATGTTTTTTGATATAAAGTTCCTTATTAACACTTTAATAAAGTATATATGATATTAATTACATGAAGAAAATGATGAAATCGACGTTTCTGCGTGTAGTAGGTATGGACCATATTATATGTAAAAATAGGTAATATATTAACTGCTTTTATATTTTTTTAGCTTTAAACCCTTAATCTAAGTTTAAACCCAAGGATCTTGGGATATTCTTTGCCAAGGATTTTTCCGTATCTCTACTTTAAAGACTGATCGGTGATTTTGAGCAATTGAAAGCAAGTTATACAAGGTAAATTATGATTATTGAACTATTATTGCCTACGTTAAATTTCTACAAGATGAACAGAAATGCGTAATTACATATCACATAGGTACCTATTATGTATTTTCATAGCAATAATGCTATAAATCTATGTATGTAGATTATTTTTAAAATACAAATGAGGTATTAGATGTATATGTATCATATTTTTTATTCATTTTATTTTCATTCAAGTCCTGTTTGATTTAATTCACAAAAGTCTTATGTAGGTACCTATATTTATATTTTTTACATATTTTTTTTGATTCCAGGTTTTGTGTGGGTTCCGGTTGCCTTTTTCCTGCTTCCAGTTATTAAGTTTTATGCCCGCGAAGCTGTGAAAACATTTATTTATCTTCAAGTTTCTGTAAGTCAATGCACTCTGTTACTTTACTAATTCACTTTAACACAGCATCTCTGATATTATTTAAATATTTGATATTGATACAGTAGTTTATTGGATTATAGCTCTTTAATTGTGTTGATTTGCATATTTACATTGTTCTAAATTCCAAATAAATATTTTTGAGTAATTTTGTTGTATTACTTACTACTAGAAAGAGTAAAAAGTATATTAACCCTCATTTAAACCTCCTGAACAGCCCGCCATTAAAAACCGGAAACGGAAATAAATTTCATAAAATTGAAATTGTCATGTCATGTCAAATGTCCCAGCCGCCATATCTGAAAATTAGTTACCCAGGCAGCCACGCTGTTTCCATAATTTAACATTGACTTGACACTTCTTCTTGTATTTATTATTTTATGGTATAAACGTCAAATTGTTATTAGATCAACATTTTGATAGTCTTATCAGCGTTTTTTATATTTTAATTTCTTTTTTAAAATGCCAACAACTTCAACTATTTCAAATAATAAACAACGTTCAAAAGCTTATTATTATTGTTTATTTGGTACAATATAGAGCAAGAAACGCTCTTTTAAACGAGCCCTCGCTTGTTGGATTCCGATCATCCAGTCCAGAGTTATTAATATTTAAATAAAAACAGATCTAACCTTAGCCCACCACTTTATTTTGGTAGATAGGGGAAAATGGCTTTAACAAAAACTATTCAAAATTTACTGAAGATTATGAAGCTATTACTTATAGTACACCTTATCTAGGCAAAATTGTGTATAAATTCCATTTTCTTATTTTTTTGTTACAGTTGCGCCCTCTAGCGGTTGTTCTACAAGCTTTAAAATAATTTCCAGCAATTTCCCATAGCCTCTTTAGTTATAAATATTTTTTTCCGCAGCCCCTACGGCTAATACTTTCCGAAATACAGCCGAGAGCTATTCTTAATGGGACACCCTGTACTGTATTGTAAGTTGTAAGACAAAATCGAATTACTTTGATTATTGCGCTATCTGTGGACAATTATTTTTTCAATTAATCGGAATAGAACTCACTTGAAAAGGTTTTTTTTGTTTCTCTAACGGTTTTTTTTCTTACTAAATTTTCAAAATAAGATATCGAAAATTATTACTAAAAAGTTTTAAAAAAATCCCAATTTTCAGAACTGAAAATGTCTCCAGACGTTGCTGGAGCAACTTTCATGGCAGCTGGTAGTTCTGCTCCTGAACTAGCAACAGTTATAATTGGTGTGTTCTATGCGGAGGACGATATAGGTAAGTACCTTTCCTTTTTAGACTCCATTTCCTCCTCCTCTTCTGCTCCTGTGACCGCAACTGTTTAAAACCTCTCAGTAGCATTTTGGATCAAATTCATAGGAATGTGTTCATAGGTATTTGTAAAGGCGGGATGACACAGTTCAAGTGTTGGACCAAGTTGGACCAGTGTTGCACTTGGACCAAGTACACTTGAATGCTGCCATATAACTGTACTCTATGCGCGTCTCACTTGTACACTGCTTGTATAGTATTGCCTGTTTCATCCAACTTGAGTTACTTTGATAAAACAGTTAATACTATACAAACAGAGCGTAAAAGTAGATAATCTACTAGAGACATGTAAATGAAAAAAGTATACGTTTTTTCTTTTGATTTTGATCCAATGTAATCATAGCCTAATGCATGTGTATGAGTTTATGTAACATTTTAGGCATATCCGGCGTTATTGGATCGGCAGTGTTCAATATCATGTTCGTGATATCCGTTTGTGCACTTTCTACAGGTGCCGTAGTGTACTTAAATTGGTGGCCTCTGGTTAGGGACAGTTTTTTCTATGCAATTTCTATCTTAATGATGTTGGCCGTCATTGGAGACAAGGATGTGAATTGGTAAGATGGGTTATTATATATGGGATATTTAAATTATATCGCTTTTGAAGAAATATTATTTAATCGTCTATGCATAACGTTTTACCTTTCTATAGTATATACGGGGTGTCCAAGAAATAAGTACAAGTATTTTAACTGGTAGTATATTTCGGCCCCAGAAACACGCCTGTGGGGTTTTTTATGAAAAAAAAAATATTTTTCTTGATATCTTCCGGGAAATGTTATAAACTTTTTAGTGCCACTTGTTTATTTTCCCGAGATTTCTCTACATTGCATCTAAACCTTGCAGTGTTGCCACCTCCTACTTTATCCATATTCAACACTGTAATTTTAAATTAGTACGGAAAAAAATAATTCAGTATTAATTTCACTCATATCAGTGTCTATTGCTAAATAATTCTAGTATAAAGTAGTGTGCGTTTTTCCATGTGTTTCGAGTTTATAATGACATTTTTTTAGAAATAGAGAGTGTTATTTTAGCAATTATTATAACAGGCAGTCATAAAGTGAAGTGTATGTGTATTTTAGAAGAAATGTCATTGTTGTTACCTCGATCTGCAATCAGTATTTTTTTATGTTGTGTGTAAGATTTTTTTGCGTGTGATAACACAACTTTAAAAAAGCAACATACCTCTGCAAAACCCTTCGGATGGTGTGGAGTTTTGCGATTTATTTTTGCATATACTTCTTTGGCCATCTGGCAACACAGGGCATCGAATAAGCTGAAAAACGCTGTTATCGCCGGCGATTCTCAAAATGTTTTTTTTTAATTTTCAAAGTTAAATAACTCTGTTATATAATATGTTTATTTTAAAATACTTGCACTTATTTCTGATACATATACAGGGTGTAACAAAAAAAACCATACGATTGAAAAAAAACGGCGTCAAAGACGGCTGAGAAATGATAATCGCTTATAATTTTGGCGAGGTCAAGCCCTAATCATTACTTGGCGCGTACTTTTTTTTGGGCGCTTACTACTAGTTGGACTTGAAAAGATTGCAATCTATTCTTATACTAAATCATTTTTTTTTGAATGGTGTAGTTTAAAATTATTCGACAAAAAATAATTTTTTGGAAATAGATTTGTTCTATATCCTTCTTTAATCTTCCCATAATTAGTGTTAATTTTTGACAAGTTTTATGTCAATTTTTAGTAAATTAAGTCTAGACATTGACATCGCTAAAATTATCATCGATTTTCATTCTCCGGCCATCTTTGACGCCGTTTTTTTTTCGATCATACGGTATTTATAATTATAATATACAACAGGTTAGAATCGACGGTAATGCTTGTCACCTACTTCATCTACTGCATAGTGCTGCATTTCAATACGCCCCTGGAAAAATGGGCCCAAACATGGCCAGTGCCGTTCAAGACCGTCGCACCTAACGAACAATCGGGCCTGGTTAGTTACAAAACTCTGGAAGAACAAAGACAAAAGCATACTAACTATGGAATGGAATGGAACGAAACCAACGAGCAAGAACAGCAAGCGCAACAGCCTCAACAAGAGTCCTCTCCGCCCGCATGGAACCCTGGTCAAGATTGGAGTCCGGAGAAACAGGCTCCACAAGAGAGTGAGTGATTTTTTTAAAGTCAGAAACACTTTAGTCTCATTACACTTTTTTAAAACATCTTAAAAATATTTTAGTCAATTTTTGTCAACATAGTTAGGTATGTGTAGTTTTGTAAAATGGTTGAGAATTTATCTCAATCACACGTTTTTTTTGGAGACGACCGTTTTTTTTGGAGAAAGACGTTTTTTGTAAAGGTGGGTATTCACTTGCAACAAAACACTCCGAACGAACCAAACGCGCCGCGCACTCCAAACAATCTGCAACAAAACATTTTCCGGGCACGCTCTAAACGACCTGCAACAAAACATTTTGCACGGAGCGTTCCGCCTGTTTGCGGTGTTCGCTGCGTTCCCGCCAGTAATCAGTGTTAGTGTGTTTGTCGACATGGATGCATCTGATATTACCATATAGCAGTTGGTGCTTTTTTAATTATAGAGGCATTAGCGGGTAACAAAAAAGAGAAAAAAAAGGAAAGAAGGGGAAATGTGGTCAAGACGCCTCTTTTTGCGCCGTCAAAATATGGCCTTACTTAGTGACCTAGAATATATATGCATATGAAAAAATTTACAAGGATGGCTGCAGAAGATTTTGAGAATCTAATATGCTTAGCAAGTCCTAATTGCGGTGCACCCTATATTATTAGCAATTGCCATCCAAGCATCATGCTTATTCACTTTGTTATAATATGTCCCATTTGTCGGGTCCCATAAAATAGGCTGCTTCTCAAACTCATCAATTAACTCTAAACACGTTTCTCTGTTCCATTCCATAGCTAGGCACAGTTTAAAAGCACCACAAACACAACGAACGTTCAAAACTGCCGTATCCACTGAACACCGGCCAACGAACAAATTCTTTTGAACAAATCCCGTTTACCGACAAGCTTCGGAAAATGTTTGGCGCGTTCGGTTCGGTTCGGCGCAACGCACTGACTACACAAATTTGTTACAGCGCGCGCGGCGCGTTTGGTTCGTTCGGAGTGTTTTGTTGCAAGTGAATACCCACCTTAAGACGTAAATACTAGCTAGACCGTTTATACTAGCTTAACCGAATCAATTCTTAGTTAGGGTTCGGCGTATGAAACCACACTAAAAAAGTTGCAAGTTTGTCAAAATTTTATCATACGCGTCATATTCAAGATTAAGAGTAGAGTAAATGTAATAAATATTATATCAAATTGTTTATATATTAAATCTGTATTAATATTAATATATTGAAAGAACAATCTTTATCATGCGCACCACACACATAATATCAGAAGTCAAGCTGCTTAAATAGCTCATAAGTATTGATCGTGTTAGTAAGTCAGTCTGTCCAAAAAAGTATCTCTTATAATGGAATAAGATTACATATAACAGTTTGCCTTCGTTATACAGGATCTATTCTAGCCCTAGAGCTAGTAGCCCCCTTCAGATTAGCCTCAGCATCAAAAAGGTTTATCAACATACTTAAAATGCTTTACTTTTATTTGTACTCTATGTAGCATTCCAACAGCAACAGCTCAGTGGACCAGTACTTAATCAAGTTTCCAACGATCCTGTTCTACCGCAACCTCTACCCTCAGGACCTGTTCAACACGATTACTACAGACCTAAAGAGTTCGATCCCACCACCAAAATAAATCCTCTAGTAAAACCTGCAGGTAAGGTAAACCTGCTATTACACCTAACAAATATTACGGTTATGTACCATCGTGAAATGAGAAGGCCTAACCACTTAGCGTGACGTCATTGAAGTGGGCAGTTACGGAACTCTTTTTAGGTACACTCAATATAAACTTTGATACTACCGATGTTTTCATGAATCAGTTAATCAAGAAATTTAAAAAGTTATATATCGGTATCATATCCGGAAAGAATAATGGATAGAGCGAACCATACGACCGAAAAAAAAACGGCTTCAAGGACAGCTGGGGAACGACAATCGATGATAGTTTTGGCGAGGTCAAGCCCTAGACGTCGTAAATTCGAAAAAAAATAGTTTTTTGAAAATAGATTCGTATGTCTGGAAACGTTCTATCCTTTTATTATTCCTCGGTCGCCTTTGACGCCGTTTTTTCCGATCATACGGTATTAATATAACTTACCTGTTTTATTGAGGCTTGTAACTAAAAAAAAAGGATGATTTAAGTTTTAAAAGTTGAACTAAACTACCAGATTTCCTGCTATAATGTGTCATTGTCATTGTGCTGTAGATGAAGCTGGACAATGGGCTAGAATCAAATGGACCGTTCTCTACCCTATCCATTTCTTCTGTATCTACACCATGCCAGATTGTAGAAGCGAAAAGTACAGAAATTGGTACCCGTTCACGTTTTTTGTTTCCATGGTGTGGATATCTTTCTATTCCTATTTTATGGTGTGGATGATAACAATTATAGGTTCGGCATTGAAGAAATAATAAATAATTTATTTTTTCTAAATGACATTTTTTTGGTGTTCACAGGATACACTTTAGGTATACCGGATACAGTAATGGGTTTGACGTTCGTAGCTGCGGGTGTGTCAGTTCCTGATGCCCTGTCTAGTATAGCAGTTATAAAAGAAGGGTTAGATTAGTTTTTTCTTATATTTTATCATTTCAAACTATTACCGTTGATTGAAAAAATTGGAAAGATATGCAACCTGCTGGGCAAACCCGCGACAAGGCTGATTTGATTTCCCCTTACGTCACAAGTGCTGTACGGTGGAGCCACCAATTCTTCTGCGGCCAACGCATAAAACACTTATTTTCTCTAATTCGGCTCGCGAAGGCATATCGAAGACGGTGTGGAACTGAAAATGACAGTGTTGCCATATTAAGGTGTCTAATATCTGTAATACGTTTGACAAAAATATCTTTGGATGAAAAATTCTCGTTTATTTTGTATTGAAAATTTCACACCTCTACTTTTCAACCAATAACATGCTTTAATGTTGACTAGTTACCATGGCAACTGAAAAAATTTCCGGAAATTTTTTCGAGGCGCCACGAAACTTTAGTGGAAATTTTTTGACAGTTGAAAAGGTAAACATAAGATCTACAATCATAATGTGAATGAACTACAATGTCTATATATTGAAATATTACCCATTTGAGTTTTAGCATTTGATGTAACTAATTAATAATATAATAATATTTGTTAATATTATTAACAAATTGAAATTATTTTAAAATGTCATGTTGGATTAATATTTTTTTTTTCAAATTTAGGTGTGAAATTTTCTTACCGAATACCACGCAAGCTTAAATTATTCCTGGAAATTTTCTTTCGGGCACGAATATTTTAGGAAAATTATCAAAATAATTTAGATAATTTTCAAAATATTCGTGCCCTCAAAAAAATTTCCGAAAATAATTTAAGCTCTTGTGATATTATAAGTGAAAATTTATTCGTGTTAAACCAGTGTTAAACATAGAATAAGCAACAAAAATAAAAATTCTTTTATAGGTACTGAGAATATGACGTATGACCGAAAAAAAGATGTTTTTATACACAATTGGCTTGGAAATGACGATTATTCACATTTACCATAATATTTTACATATGAGATAACAGCGATCTTCATTTCCAAGCCAACTCTGACGCCGTCCTTTGTTTAATCATATAATATTATATTAAATTGTTTAATGATAGAAAATCCGTATTATTAACGTACTGTACCCAAAATCCGTAAATCTACGGATTTAATAGTAGTTCTGGAAACACTGTCTCCGGCAACCACTCACTCTGTCGACTGAAAGCAGAACTACGGTACAGTATTCTTTATCCGCTGCGCTGTAAACGACTTGCGCAGAGCTAAACTAAATCTCGCATAGGCTGAGGTTAACGCCAGCTACATCTTGGCAGTGTTGCCAGAACTAAGGATTAATCCGTAGATTGACGGATTTCGGATGTATTCTACGGACGTACGGATTTTTTTCCAATAATACGGATTTTCTGTTATTGAACAATTTAACATAATATTATACGATTAAAAAAGAACAGCGTTACAGTTGTCTTGGAAATAAAGATAGCTGTTATTTCATATGGTAAATGTTCATTTTCAAGCCCACTAAACGACTTTTATCATACAAAATATGCAGTAGGTACCCATACCCATAAAAGAATATTTGCAAATTAGAAATTTTATCTATTACCATCGATTAATTGACAATACTAATCATACAAAGACATAATAACGGATATTTTTGCCCATCGGATCATATTTTTATAATAATAAAAAATTATAGGTTTTGCAATACTTGTTTGTCTCATCTATTCTTGTACATGTAATATTACGTAGCTAATATGTAGATATTGAAGAGTAGTAATATTTTGTTATTTTTAAAATGTTTATATTTGATATTTATTTTATGTTTAACACGAATTACTTAATGATCAACAAAATACAGGGTCAGTCTTAATAAGTACAAATATTTTCAGGGGTGGTAGATCTCAATAACATATTTTCTCTTTACCGTTTTCCAAATAAGTAAAAAATAACCGAGTTATTCAAGTTTGAAAAAATAACAATTTGAAAAAAAATATATTTTTAAAAAATTTTGAGAGCTTTCTTTATTAATTTCTGTATTTGCACCCCCCTTAAGTGTACGATTTTTATCACATTTTTTGCGAAAAACCTCATAGACCTGTTCATGGGGTCGAAATATACCAGCCCTGAAGATATTTGTACTTATTTAAAACTCACCCTGTATAAATACGGATTTTTTTTATTCATCTACGGATATTTCGACCAACTGCATCTTGGACAGTTTTGTGCCACGAAATCGCCCATAAGGTTGCGCATCTTTTTATTTCTTTAATCAACGCTATTACACAGGGTTTTTCAATTTTATAGAACAAAATACAATTTACGAGGGATTTTTAAAATTATTTAAAACTCATTAGTTAATTGTATTTACTAAAAAATTATCAAATCATCTAATTTTCTTTAGATATGGTGATATGGCTGTGTCAAATGCTATTGGTTCCAACGTTTTTGATATACTAGTCTGCCTAGGTCTTCCTTGGTTCATTAAAACAGCTTTAGTTACACCGGGAGCACATGTAAAAGTCATCAGTAAAGGTTAGTGTTAAGTGTTTTTATAGCTTTATACTGTATTCTTTTAATAAAGTAAATTATTTATTTACTCATATACCGGGTGCTTTTCAATAGTAGCTCACCTCTATAACTTTTTTATATTTTCAGATTAAAAAAAAACGAGAATTGGTGTATTTTTATAGGACATAAATCAGGATTGATTGACGTATTCATTTAGTTTCGGTCACTTCCTGCTTCACCGAAAATGTTTACAACTTTTGATTTTTAAGAGGTACCCTCGTTATTTTTTACTTTATTTGATAGAAAATGACATTCTGAATAGAAATACATATCATATGTCAAGTTTTGACCCTTCCAATAAAAAAAAAGTATAAAAAGTTTATAAAGTATTTTAAATTTTAATCTAGAGTGTAATTACTGTGTTAATCTATAAAAAGCATTTTTTACGAATAATTTGGTACCACATACTTGGTAGTTCTAGTCAAATTGTCGATATATTTATTGTAACATTCTAGATTGAAATTGAAAATACAATTTTTTTAGGAGAAAATGTCAAAAGTAGACATGTGATATGTCATTCTATTCAGAATATCTTTTTCTGTCAAATAAAGTAAAAATACCGGGAGTACCACTTAAAAATCAAAAGTTGTAATCATTTTCGGCAATACAAAAAGTGACCGAAACTAGTTGAACAGGATAATCAATCCATTAAGAAAGATACAGGGTGTCCCAGAAATAAGTACAGATATTTTAAGGGGTGGTAGATCTCGTTAAAAGAAACATATTTTCTCTTTGCCGTTTTTCAAATAAGTCCAACATAACCGAGTTATTTTACTTTGAAAATTTCGGAAAAAAAATAATTTTTTTTCCTTAAATTTTGAGAACCACTGGATCTTTTCTGGGTTTCTTTTCTTGTAAATTTAATCTACTACCTATGTTGCCATACTATCAAGAAATAATGTTTTTTAACTAAGAACTAGAAAAATTTCCAAATTTTTTTTCAAAAAATTCCAAATTTTCAAAACTTTTTTTTCGCGAAAAAAACCTCATAGGCGTGTTTCTGAGGTCGAAATATACTACCAGTTAAAACATCTGTACTTATTTCTGGGACACCTTGTATAGATAAGAAATTTCGTTTTACCGAAAAAAATAAAAAATATATTGGGGTGTGCCACTTTTGAAAAACAATCGGTATAACTCAATATTTCTTTCAGGACTGATGTATTCTACGTTCTCTCTACTATCCACCGTGGCGTTTTTGGTAGTCGCCATCCATTACAACGGTTGGAAACTGGATAGGCGTTTTGGTATAGTACTGATGGTTTGGTACTTGGTTTTTATTACGTTTGCAAGTCTGTACGAATTGAACGTGTTTGGTAACCTAAATCCTCCCGAATGCGTTACAGATTACTAAAACACTAACATTTGTATTATTGTTAATACAATTGATAACTGAAATTATTACGAAAGATTATATGTATGCGAGTGGCAGTATGTCAATTTTTAAAATCCAAATTATGGGTTTGATAAGAAATTTTATTTAATTACTTGATTTTAAACAGAAACACATTCTTGAGAATTAAACCTGAAAATAGTTTTAAACATCAACAGCGAAAAAAAAACAGCTTTATTTTAATTTTAAAATTAGCATTCTTTAAACGATCACATTACTTTTAATATATAGGGTGATACACAGACTAAATACACTATTATAGTATTAATTAAAAAAGTTTTAAATATTTTCTTAGAGACTGCACAGAACAGCTTTAATTATTTAAGTGAAAAATATGTTTTGTAACACTCTATATATTCAAATGTGTGTTTACTCGAGCATTTAAAAGAACTTAAGAAATTATTTCTTTTTTGATACAAAATTAATATTAGTGTTACATGTATAAATTATTTATAATAACATATACATAAAAGTCTAGCATAAAAGTGACGACAGTATTTTTGAAGTTTTCTTAGGCTTAAAACCTCGTCTAGACGTTTTACATGTCATGTAAGACGGATTTAAAAACTAGATACACTAGTAAAACAAAAAGTAACAGGTCACTTGAGACAGACAGCAGACAACGGATATAGTTATACCGTATGATCGAGAAAAAACGGCGTCGGCGTTGGCTATGAAATGAAGATCGCTGTCATTTATGTAAATTTATATGGGAAATGTCATCGATCGTCATTTCCCAGCCAACTGGAGGCCGTTTTTTTTCGATCATACGATAGTATATTAATTTTATAGGAGGTATAGTTATATTAGGGTGCCCGGTGGCGTAGAGGTAGAGGCTCTCGTCTACCAATCTCAAGGTGTGTGTTCGAATCCTACACCCGGCATTTCATCAGCCGACTATTATATTAAAATAAAAATAGTTTGGGTACCTAGGTCGACTCAGCCTTAAATGAGTACTTGTGATTCACAATCCTGGCGTAATAATAGGCGGTTGAAGCGTAGTGGTAGCCACATTACCTTCCTTGTACGAGCCCTAACAACTATATGTTGGGACAAGGTCATATTTTGTAATTATTGCCCTGGTTTTTCAAAATGACTGAAAAATATTCGTTTAATTTTTTAAATATAAACATAACCATATATCCTAAACAGCTTGACAATATTTTTATAAATTTGTAAATCAATCTATATCTACAGTAGCGGATTTTGTTCATAAAAGGACAAATTTGCTGACAACTAAATATCGGGACAAGTATTTTTAAATAATTAATATCATCATAGGCGGCTTTGCTATAAACGTCACAAATGTCGCAAACTGTTTCCTTCAGCATTGACAGCTTGTAAGTGACTCGATACTTTGAGTAGTGAGATTTACTGTAAGTAATTTTAATTTTTTTAATTTTGTTAATTATTTAATTCAAAGTAATGGTCCGTGGAAAAGCTACAAATCAAAAACTACGCGAAATCATCATTCGTCAATACAGTACGGGAAAAACAATTCGAAAAATTTCTGATGATTTAAGTATTCCAAAAACCACGGTCTTTAATATAATAAAAAAAAATACGGCGAATCTGCCAATATAGACGTTAGAGGTAAAAGTTCGGGAAGGCCAAAAGTTGTATCTTAGAGAGATTTACGAAATTTAGTAAAAATTTGCAAGTCTGCGAGAAGAAGTACTCTTCGCAAAGTAACAGTTAAATGGAATACTGTAACTGGTTTAAATATATCAAGAGAATGTTGCTGAAAAGATATCCATAAATGCGGTCTGGAGTTTTACAAGGTAAACTTTATTTTGTGTGGATAATCAATTACCTGAAGATTATTGATACAAATTCTTATTTAGGCCAAAGAAAAACCGCTACTGACAGAAATTCAAAAGAAAAATCGCTACAATTGGGCAAAATCTAAATTATCGTGGACACAAAATGATTGGAATAAGGTCATATTTAGCGATGAGTCTAAATTTGATGTTTGCGTTGGAGATCATCGAAAACGAATAATACGAAATAAAGCAGAAGCTTTTCATAAAGATTGCTTAAAGAGGGTTGTTAAATTTCCTAAGTGGATTATGGTTTGGGGTTGCATGTCAGCAAGAGGTTTGGGCAAATTAAATTTTATAGATAGCACTGTTAACGCCCAAAAATATCAAGTTTTACTTACTTGAGACCTCACTTTTGTGTAGTGCTCAAGGATTGTTTCCAAACGAAGACTATATTTTGCAACAAGATGGAGCATCGTGCCGTTCAGCAAAATCAACTAAAAATTGGTTCGGTAATAATAATATAAATGTTCTATCCAATTCTGCAAGTAGTCCGGACCTCAATGTTATAGAAACTGTGTGGCATAAAATGAAGCAATATTTAAGAAACCACCCTCAACGAACAATTTTTGATTTGCGGACAAAACTGCAGGAAATTTGGGATAATTTTTCTCCTCAAATGTGCCAATCTTTGGTAACTACAATGCCATTAAGAGTTCAGGTAGTTGTTAAGGCGAAAGGTGATGTAACTCCATATTAAACAAATTTCTTGTTGTGCTGTCCCAATATATAGTTGTCAGCAAATTCGGCTTGATTTTGGCAAAATAAGCTATTATCAAAAGTGATTTGTTTGCAAAGTTATAAAAATATAGTAAAATTGTCTAGATCATATTGTAATGTTTGAATTTAGAATAATAAACAAAATAAATTGAGTCGTTTTAACAAATTACTATTTTTATTGCAAAAAAGACCTTGTCCCAACATATAGTTGTTAGGGCTCGTATACCGAACGGCTCAAGCATGGCAAGCTGTACCTTGCTACTCCCAAGGCGTTAAACGCTATATACGGGAGCTATTATTATTATAGTTATATTAATGTAATAGGAGGGTGACGTAAAACAGGTACGAACATGTAAAATAGGTTAATAAGCAAAAATAAACAGGTCTAAATAAGAAACAACCGCTTTAAAAAAGAAAACAACCACTAAAGGCTTAAAATACAGATCTGTTTTTTTTCTTATTTAGACCGGTTTATTCTTGTTTATATTATCTATATCGGTTATCTGTGAGTCTCAAGTTACCTAATGACTACTCACAGTGGTTTATTTTGCTTATACTCAATAGGTAAGACTGGCAGAGATAATTTTTTATGTGCAGACGGGGGTTCATAAGTCATCCTAGAAAATTTTGAAAACCGTTCACTATTAAAGTCTATTTAACAAAAGAATACATCACAATGACAGCTGTCTGCCATTTTGAATAACAGGATGTTGTCTGTCAAAATCTTTTCTGACTCGTTGGACAGGCTATACCACAGTAATCTGCTGAAACGACATTAATTATTAGATGCTGATGAGAGATGATAAATCATAAATGATCTTTTATAATAAATAGTTTTGACAAATACGCTTTTATATAAGATTTTATTTGACAATAAGTGAAAAACAGACTAAATTCCTAAGTAATACATTTACGTTTATGCGTTTAGTTTTAGGATATAATTTTGCCAAAAAAAAATAACAAAAAAATGAACTGTGTGTATTATAAACTCAAGATAATCCACACATTTAACAGGTATGCCACATACAGAACCAAAATACGCCAATTACGTCATCCGGCATATTACGTCATCTGGCAGACATATTTTATCTGACAGCACTTAACACGTCTACACTATGCGTGAAATAGGTCCAAGTAGGTCAAGGTTGAAAAGTAAAGCAGGTTCTCCCGTGTTATTACTCTTTTCTCAATTATTGTTGTTTGCATACATTACATGTTGTTTGCAGATATACCGTGTAATCCACGTGACGTAACATCACGCGTTAGAGCATGCCGGTTTAATGTGTATAGTGTATAAACTAACTAGAGAAGAAAAATAAGTGTATTGATGTAATTTTAAAAACGAAAACTATGATTGTCCTTTAATCTTCATCGATGTTACAAATACTTAGAATTATGTATATGTAGTACCCGTCCTAAATTATAGAAATAATCGTCAATTTTTCGTTCAATTATTAAACATTATAGTAGTCCTTAGAGTATATATGCTCAAATTAAAAAAATGTTAATGTTCTGAGTATATAAATATAATATAGTATCAAAATACAGGGTTTCCCAGAAATAAGTGCAAGTATTTTAACTGGGAGTATAGTTCAACCCCAGAAACACGCCTATGAGGATTTTTTCGTGAAAAAAAAATTGAAAATACGGATTTTTTTGAAAAAGTAGTAGTAGATTAAATTTACAAGAAAGAAAATCCAGAAAAGATCCAGTGGTTCTCAAAATTTTAGCCAAAAATTTTTTTTTGGAGATTTTCAAAGTAAAATAACTCCGTTATTTTGGACTTATTTGAAAAACGATAAAGAGAAAATATGTTTCTTTTATCGAGATCTACCACCCCTTAAATACGTACTTATTTCTGGGACACCCTGTATAATGTATTTATGCTTTTAAAACTACTATTGTTTATCTCTGTAACTGCCAATTAATTAATTGTTCTATGTATAGGGCTCAAATGAAATAGTTTTATTAGAAGTATAACATATACAGGGTGTTTCAAAAAACAAGTGCTATCTCAACATCTTTTCATATCAACAGTAGGTCTGCTTTGTCTCGTAGCTACAGGGTGTTAAAGTATTAATAATCTTTCGATTTACTATACTTTTCTTCCAAGTACTTTTAGTGATTCCAATGAAATTTATAAGTGCTACATATATATTTTAATGCTAAAAAGTGTTGATAGATTCAGGGATGTGCATATGGGTTATCACTAGTATTTTTTTCAAAAAAAACATGTGCGCCACTGAAATTTTTTAATTTGATATCAAAATTGTGTAGGCCGTTTAATACCAATTAAAAGTTCCCTCTTGATATTTTGTCGAATTCGGCGTTCTTGATGAGATAAAACCTAATTTTAATATTAATTTAATTTAATTCAATTTCAATTAATAAAATTAATAAGTTAGATATTTTACGTAATTTATTCTTAAATATAATTTTCGGTAAATGCGGCTAGTGCTGCTGACGTCACACGTAATTCCTTCCACTCTACGTAGCGTAGGTAGCCGAAGAGGAGATTAGAAATTTAATATGCTAAGGAAGTTCGCAAATTTTTCATGGCTCATATTGAAATATTGAAAAATTTTTAGTTCATCCTCAATTAAATATGGAAATAATGTGGATTTTTGCAAATATTGTGAACCTATAACTTTCGATTCTTTCTCGTGATTTCTTTTTCTTCTATTAGCAAGGAGCTCATAATTAATTATTTCTTGTTTGTTGTCATTTATTGTCGAGAAATAAGAAAAAAAACGCTTATCACCGCAGACAGGACTCCGGAAGCGACTAAAGAGAAACTCTATTGGCAAATACGGATATAGTAGGGGCAAAAAGAAACAAAATAGCGAATAATGCGGCGCGTGCGGCTCTGGTCAGTGTGCGCGTACCTTTAGTCCAACCTACAGCAATTTCAAATAAGAAAATAATGGTATTTAAAATAATTACAAAAAAAACTAATTTTAAAAAGTTTTAATTCCTGTAACTCTAAAACTATGCATTTCCATAGCCATATTTATAGGAACTTTTTTTCATACTTTTTTTATGATGATATTGTTATTTTTTAAAATATTAGACTTGGATCAAAGCAAATTAATAGAATTGCGTTTATCTCATCAAGGAGGCCGAAATCGACAAAATATCAAGAGACAACTTTTAATCGACATGAAACTGCTTACACTATTTCGCTAACAAGAGAAAAAAAGTCACTGGCGTACATGCTTTAAAAAAAATATATTCTAGTGATAACCCATATGCACGTCCCTGGTGAATATGTCGACACTTTTTTAGCCTTAAAATATGTCGCATTTATAGTAACTTTTACCCTCAACATTTCATTCAAAACGCTAAAAGTACTTGGAAGAAAATTATAATAAATCGAAAAAATATTAAGAATGTAACACCCTGTAGCTACGAAACAAAGCAGAATCGAACCTATGTTGATATGAAAAATAAATCTTATTTTTACGTGAGGAATTTCTACACGAGAGATGGCACATGTTATTGAAACACGCTGTATAATTTTTTTTCAATTCAGCTAAAATATTTTTAATATTTGAATAGTTCTGGTTATTAAAGTTTTAACCATAACTTATAACTTATTAAATTATTATTATTGGCTGAATAATCCAAGCAGACATTAATACTATTTAGATTATTCAGTAGAGCAGAGTCACACTACTATATGTATGTATAGAAAGATATACACTCACACTGTCAATCTGCACACTTCATAATACCTGTGATTTTATCTTCCTTAAATGTTCTCATATTTCTCCAAGCCAATTACTATATTATACATATAAAAATAAATAAATAATTTCTTCTTTTATGATTAATGATATAAATAATGACTACATTCCTATATTAGTATTATTATTGCACACAGTATCCTTAACGTCTGTTTCCATATATGTTTTTAAACATGCAGTACTATTAGTAATATACAGGGTGACCCAGTATTCCTATAAAGCTACATATTATCAGGTATCATATCGGAAATTTTTGAAAAACATAAAAATCTCTTATAGGGCAAATGCTTGATAATATAGAACAAAACTAGAGATTTTCCCTTTATTTGAAATAAAACAACCTCTATATGTAGCTACTAATGGTCCTTCATGTAGATCTTTTAATTTTGTATAATCATATATAAGTGATCAAACGGTTAAAATACTCAATTTAACTACGACAACTTATTAGGTGCAGTGTCAATTTTATTAATTTAATTAATATTTATACAAAAGCAAAGTAATTATAAGTACACAAAAAATTTTAGACCCTTATACACACCAACAGAAAAGACTTACCCCTTTATGTAACATCGAAGTATTAGAAAAAAAATGTAGTTAAGACTTTTAATTAATTAGTGTGATAAAATGTTAGATTTAAGCTGATACACTTAAGATACCGTACCATACGATCGAAAAAAAAACGGCGTCAGAGATGGCTTGGAAATGAAAATTATATGGAATGTCATTGATTCATTTCCAAGCCAACTGGACGCCGTTTTTTCGATCATACGGTACTTAATTCTGATATTGATTGAATCAAAAAATATATGTCACAAAAGAATAATTACTTTTTAGCTATGGTTTTCATAAAAAATACTTAAAATAATAATACCTACATACATTTACAGGATGGCTCACTTTTACTAACAGTTCACGCTGTAATAGTCTCTAGAATATTAAAAAAAAATTATGTAGGTGTTGAATATTTAAATAACAAATTACTTTGGCATAGAACAACTAGAGATAAGACTCCTGTTACTGTCGATTCATCTTTACCAAATTGAGACATCCTGTACAGTGATTTTCAAAAATATTGTTATGAAGACTAGAATATATTTATTCTATATTATATTATTAATAATATAATAAATTATTTTAAATTTTATAAAATAATAATATAAAGAAACATTAGTCATAATAAGCTGTATAAAAATAAATTTGTATGCAAGTACATACCATGTATAAATATTAAAAAAAAATCTAAATAAAAGTTTAAAATGATTTTTTTTTTGTATTTTTAAAAGGACATCACCTATATTATTTTAAGTATTTTTAGACAGGATTTTTTAGTCTAAATAATTGTAGTAATTAAGTAATTTTCCTTTTTAGAATCACATAGAAAAAAATGCTTTTTCGTTTAGTTATGACTGAATTAACTAATTATTTACTTTTGAAATATAAATTGTATAATTAAATAACTTTTATAGAGTGTGTTTTGACTTAAAATTACAATAAGCGTCCTAAAGATTCATGATTTAATATTTTGAATGTCTAATTATTTTTAACTAAAATTAGTAATGTTGCTTTAAAATTTATACAATTTACAAAAATGTATAAGAAATTACACTTATTATACTTTACCTGGAATTAATTATATTTAGTTTTGTAGTTTCTGTACTATAACTTATTTTTTATTCTATTGTATATCTTATACTATTCCTATTCATTTGGTAAACATATTTAAAATTTTTCTTCTCTGCTTTTGAAGACGAGAAATGCTGACTTTTTAGTCCCTTTCATATTATAAGGGATAGAGATAGTTCCTTGTGTTTAAATTGTATAAAAAAGTTTGGTTTTAGAATTGATATCACATTTACTTTAAGCATATCATGTTTTTTATCTTATTGCCATTTGATTTGTTACATCATATCCATTCATAGTAAAATATATAAATATATAATATTTATCATAATAAAGTCCTTTCATTTCTAGAATATTAAAGCAGAACTTATAGAGGTGAAAGGACACAAATTAATGGAACAAACGACAATAACAAAGCCTTAAATATATAAGTAAATTAAAAATAGAAATTAAGATTTTGATAAATTATTTCTTTATTTTTCTTTACCAACTTTTTTTTATTTGTATATATTTTGCTTATAATGTTTACATATTTATTTATTATGTTCAATCATTCAGAATGCTTTCCATGTCCTAAATTGCCAAATTTAATATATTTGTTAATGTTATAGTTTGAAAAAAACTCAAATCGATTCCTTTTTAATATTAAACAATTAGATTTATTTAGTTAGTATGAACAGTACAATTTTTAAAATGTACTAATCTTATGAAATTATTAATCTTAAGAGATCCATAGATTTTTGGCTAATATAAATAATTAATATGTTGTTATATATTAATATTTCAACATATTAAAGAAGTACTGTTATGTTATAGTCCCTTAGAGTAAATATACATATAGGTACTATATACATCTCCACATTCCTCTAGTGATTGTTCGCTGTACACCTTTTAATTTCTTTTAGTATTACCAAAGTATTTTAGACAGTATTAAACCAATTATAGTGTATGCTTGTTCGTAACATGGACACAAATTGAATCAAAGGCTTAAAAATCTTACGGTAGATGTAGAATGGGTATTAATGTAGAATCTTTTTGTTAATTATTTTTAATTTAATTTAAAGACAAGAATATGTGTCCATATAAAATGTTAAATGTTATAAAAATAAGAAAATGTATTCGTTGTTGATTCTTGTTTAAGTGTGGACAATTTTAATAACTGTAGCACAATGTAAAATTAATTTGCACATGAAGGTAATAAAGAAAAATTAAATTTAAAAGATGTTTTATTTAGACAATCCTTCACCACTGGATTTTTAATACGTCTGATATATTTATAAGCTATTAATTAAGAGTTTTACACAGACAAAAAGTAATACCTTAGAATTATCACCGAAAACGTTCATGTTGATTCAAAAAAATATGTGTAATTAAATCAAAAAAATATATTCATTGTTTATCAATTATAATAAAGTTAAACACAAAAAAATACCTAAATATTTGTCTTAAATTAAATGTGTGAATTGAACCATCATACTTAAATTTACTTGGCTATATTCGATCTAATGCTTCCAACATAACTATACTATTTCCTCGAATAACCTGCAAAATACAATCCATTGAATCCCCCTGAATTAAATATATTGATCCAAGATCTACTTACCACCATTCCAACATTATTCTTCGTACCATCTTTACATTCCTCGATGCTTTCGTCTACAACTAGATTCATAAAAGGATCGAATCCTCGTAAAATTCCGGTAACTTGTCTACCACCATTCAGTTTTAAAGATAACTTCTTGTCCATAAATCTAGAAAAAAAATACAGATACAGTACTTAATTAATGAAACATAATGCCTATTTACATACTTTTTTAATTCTGGAGGATGGGCTTTCGACATTGTTGATCTAAAAGTTTAAACTTTAACAAATGAATAATGGAAAATGACGCTGAAAAGAATAAGGTTAGTTTGTCATTCTTCTTCCTTGCAATGAAAGATGGCTTTTGCTTCGAAATTCTAGGAATTATATATGAACTTGAAAGCAAAAATTTGATGTAATAATTTTTAAATAAATTTGAGTTTTTGAAACTATTTTGTACCTTTTAATATATTTAAAAGAAGCCATTATAGCTTATGAATTTGTTTTAAATTGCGAAAAAGTTTTTATAAAACTAAAATTATCATATATAATTATTATAAAGTATCAATTTAAGGGCCACCTTTTAAAAGATGAAGAATTTACTTTTCTATTTGTCCACCAGATGGGGGTCTAATCGTTAGCATCATATAAATAATATCCATGTCGTAAATGTTAATTTGGATTTTTTCAATTTTTGTGTCTGTGTTGTTTTTTAGTTTTTGTGATTTTAAATTTAGTTTGATAGGGTTAGTAAAGGTAAAAGTGCCACTAAAGGAAGTATCCACTATTTTTTACATACTTCTCTCCCTAAAAATACTATCGATTCAAAATGTCTATTTGTACGGCGTTAGCCGGACTTTCCTTGTTATTATTCTTGCACTGCACCTTATTTATAAATGTTGTTGTTTCAGATCGATGGCGGAACTATCATCATCGCCTCCACCATCATCTAAATCCCTGGTTGCAAACGAGGGTGACTGGACTTGCGAGGAGTGTGGAAACCTAAATTTTGCTCGGAGGAGCCTGTGTAATCGATGCCAGAAAGGTAAAGCTCCTAGTGCTGCAAGGAAACGTAAACTAGGCACTGAAATAGGAAAAGCAGCAGCAGAGAAAAGCAGAGGCCTGTTCAGTGCCGATGACTGGCAATGTAATAAATGTGGAAATGTCAATTGGGCTCGCAGGCAACAGTGTAACGTTTGTAATGCACCCAAATTTGGCGAAGTGGAAGAAAGAACCGGTTTAGGAGGTGGTTACAATGATAGAGGAGTAGTTGAGTACAAAGAGAGGGATGATTCTGACGATGATGAATATGATGAGTTTGGTCGTAAAAAGAAAAAGAGGTGTGACGAGATTAAACCTCCTAGTGGTAAAAATAATGAGACTAGTAAGAAGGCAGAAGTTGAAGAGGAGGAAGAAGAGGAAGAAGACGATGATGGTGATTTATCAAAGTATGATTTGTCTGATTGGGGAGATGTCAAAAAAGATGACAAAGGTGATAGCAAGTTGGATAAGTCGAGTTCTAGATCCCCATCTCCCAGATTTAAGCATTAAAATCAATTGAATATAATTAGTTTCTTAGCATTGACTTGAGATCACATACAAAACAAAATGATCTAAGTATAATCTGCCAAAAAATATTTATAAATATTTCTTAATGCTTAAAAATTAATTAATTTAAAATATTTACAGATTATGTATTTGTATCTTTTAACTTAAATGTGTAAACATTTTTTAAAGAAATTTTTATGAGATTTAGGAAAGAAGAAAGAGCGTAATATTAATATTGTCTAGAGTATAGAACTAGCGTCTTTTATATAGTATTTTAGATTAGGTATTGCTTTTAGATCATAATTTGTTAGTGTCTTTTTTTTAATTAGTGAAGTCATTTTTAAATGTAATTTTAGATGGTGTTTTTCTCCACTTATTTTATGTTTTATTTCAATTTGTATGTATTCATTGTACATCTGATGTTTATTCTAAATAATTTTAAAAAGTAGAAATTAAATTTGTTATGTAAATTAATGAACTGAATATTTATTAGTGTTTTATTGGCACTAAATTAACTTCTTCCTATTTAGGTATATTATTTTCTGTTTGTCTATTTTTTTCTTTATTTAGGCAAATGTTTTCTTCCAATTAGGTATATTGATTCTGATTAAATATAATATTGTTGTTATTATTATTTATGCAATGAATGTATTTTAAATCAATTTTAATACTGTATATAAATCACTTTTAATCATGTCACTGCTGTGTGGTATTTACTCAAATGTTTGAAGTCATTCAAATATGTATGTATTCCTTAAATAAACCTAAAGCAATATTTTGTGTTTTGTTATACTGTATTTAATAACAAAATATTTATAGAATGATACTTCTGTAATTTTTTATTTTGAAATATTATACAGGGTCCGGCAATAGTGCGTCGGGCATCTGTAGCTCCTAGAATAAAAGACTTGGAAATTTTGTTTAAGTGCAAACCTAAAGTATGTGCTAGGATGTATTTCAGGCAAATATTTTAAATTCTGTAGGGTGGCTCAAAAAAGTGTGAGTGGATCGGGATGACTTTTTTTTAACGGAACACCCTGTACATTATTGCATTTTTGGCTTCCTTTCAGATCACTTTATAATCCTAAGATATGAGTAAATATATTTCGGTAGTTTAATAATACTTAAATAAATAAAAAATATATATTTTTAAGCCTTTCTTAAAAAAAATATAAAAATACAAGAACTGTCCTGAAATCAACTACGTAAGTAACATCTGTACTTACTTTACTATAAATATGGTAATCGTAAATCATACAGGATATTCCCAATTCTGCGTCGAACTTTCTAAAATATAATTTTTCTTCGTTTTTTTTACACACGAAAAAAAATATTTTATGTTTTAGAAAGTTTGGTACACCCTGTACGATTTAAGTTTACAATATTTGTAGCAAAGTAAGTACAGACCATCTAAAGTAAATACCTAATATAGAACCATCTTGTAGAAGTTAAAATATTTTCCTGAAATACATCCTAGTACCCTAGTACATATACTTTATAGGTCTGCATTTGTAAAAAATTCCTAAGTTTTTTATTATAGGAGCTACAGAGATGCCCGACGCACTATTGTCGGACCCTGTATAAACATTTTAAAAACTATGAAAATTAATTTAAACATATATCATGCGATCGAAAAAAAACGACGTCAGTGATGCACGATGGCTATGAAATGACGATCGCTGTCATTTTAAATGGAAATTTTATATGGGGGAATGCCATCGATCGTCATTTCCAAGCCAACTGGACGCCGTTTTTATTCGATAATACGGTATTTTAAATACATTAAATATATGAATAATCTAAGACAGTCATGCCCTTATTGGAGATTACTTGCTTAAAACATTTTTAACCAAATGCGAAGATATTTCTTTCTATTAATATGATGTAGAACCATATAGCATGACACGGTGTACTGATGCTCCCAAAACCAAAGCAGGAACAGAGTAGGAGTATTTGGGCCGAAAAATAAATATTCCCAACCAATGGACCAGCATCCTTAGGCAGAAATCTACTCTATCGAAATATGCGTACAAAGAACATAAAAACACAACTTAATATATATTAAATTAAATTTTGTGGTACTTTGTACAGGATGACCCATTTTCGCCTGTTTTACAGGGTTTCTCGTTTATGAGCAGAAGTACAAAGATGCGGTTTTCACATTACTATGCTACTTTTTTATGAAACTAAACATGGTACACGCCTTAGAGTAGTCTAAGGTACACACGTATTTGTCCTAGCCCTCTTAGTTCCTGAAATACTGGGCGAAATTGAAATTGTTGCATTTTTCGACTCCCCTCATATCTCGGACATTATTAACTCATCGAAAAGATGAAAATCGAGCTCCATAGAGATTTCCAAGTAAAATTCAGTGGCGCAATTAGAACCAAGATAGAAATAAGAGGGTCGAAAAATGCAGTATTTTAAAATTTGTCTTGTATTTCAGGAACTAAAAGAACACGTAAGTGTGTCCTACCGATACTAAGAAATGCTGCTGTTAAAAATGTATGATAAAAATCTCCGTAAGCCTTTTATAAAACTCTCTCGACTTTTCTGTTCACTTTCTGTCACTTTTAAAGTCTTAAATCAGTTTTCGAAAAATGACTTAAAATCAAATGACATAAGTCATTAAAATGATTTAAATCAAAAAAAGACTTACATACATAACAATGTTAGAAAAATACCATATTAATTTGTCATTTTTACAATTTTATTGAGTAGGCTATAATTTGAGTTATGCAGAAATCAATTTTTTTAATTAATACAGATACCAATTTGTGAAAATATTATTTCGACCCATTACAATTGTGTAAGGGCAGGCATTAAAACAACAGACAGATACTGTAATTGTATTTTATAAAGAGATACAAAATAAACGAAGCTAAAAGTTGCTGAGAAGAGCTACTAGTGGAGGGATATCCGAGATTGGGAGATGATTGGGAGGGAGACAGCTTAGGGTTTTTATATAAACAAATTTATCCGTCAAGACTAAAAATTCTCAAAGATAAACACAATATAATCATACACAATAAGATTTCGCATCAAATAGCCTATGCAAATAGCAAATTTCATATACTACATGGCCAGCTAAATAGACTGACAGTGAGCTATCGTGGATATGAACCTTAGATTAAGAATAAATATGAACACACATTCCTAATGTAGTTTACAATTCGCTTCCAATTTAGAATAATTATAATTATAATATACAGGGAGAGTCTTAAATAAGTACAAATATTTTCAGGGCTGGTAGATCTCGATAAAAGAAACACATGTTTTCTCTTTATCGTTTTTCAAATAACCCCAAAATAAACCGAGTTATTTTACTTACTAAAAATAAAAAAATATATGTATTTTGCACAGGCTTGAAAAAACTGCACAGGTTTGTTCCAATACACGCTCAGGTGTAACTGTGCAGGTACACCTGCACAGGCAGACCTCTCCGGTAGACCGTAACGTGTGTGGCCGGCATTATCTGACCGACTAAATCTGTTTTTTTTCTGGGTCTTCTTTTTTGTAAACATAATCTACTACCTATATTGCCATAATATTAAGATATATTTTTTAACTAAAAATTAAAAAAATCCATTTTTTTTCTCGAAAAATACCAAATTTACAAAAGAATCGCGAAAGAAACCTTATAGACGTGTTTCTGGGGTAGCCCTATACCACCCCTAAAATATTTGTACTAATTTTAGGACATTTTTAGAGCCCCCAAAAATTTTTTATTGGCTTATGCAGTAAGTAAAAAAACAGAAAAACAACGGTTACTTAAAGGAAATAAGTATTGCGATGTTAATTTGCTTGCTCATTTAACAGTTGAAAAACAGGATTGATTTAACTACCTAAGAATGAGCGAGGAAACTTCCTTAGAACTACTGAAATTGACGTCTGGAATTGGGAATTGGGCTGGATGAGATGCGAGTGTCTTAAAGTTGCTGAACTGACTACTTTTGATGCATAAGCTCGTGGGTTCTCCACACCCACTAATTTTTTCTCGTGGGTGCTTGAGCACCCGAGCACCCACGCAGTCGGCGCCCCTGGTTCGTGCAATAAACTTTGATACGACTGATATCGGAGATGGAGAACTAACCTCTGTAAAACCGTCTCAGATACTGGTTTTTGTCAAAGCTCTGGGACTGATAAGAGTTATAACTCAAGAAAGGGGGACACAATTGATCTGTAAGGTCGCATTCTACATGTTCAAAAGGAAATACCTCTCTGACAGGAAATTCCACGTCCAGAAATGCAACCATTTTCGGCATACCGCCGCATCAGCCGTCCAAAATTACACACTTTCCTCGAACGATTTCTCCAGCCGCCGACCACGACGTCTGGAGAAATCAACGCACGGCGACGCTACACGTCGCGTCCGTCGAGACGCTGCTGCCAAAATCTAAAATTAAGAGCCGATCTCACACGGGAAGGGGGGCAGCGATACGTAAGCGGCCTCAACGGACTTTTTTGCAGTTTTTTGAGCGTTAGCGCCCCGGTAGTCTCGCGTTGGTGTGATTGTCTTTTTCGAAAATTCCGACATTATTTTTACGGTAAGTCGAGGAAAAAAAGTGGTCCTAATAAGTGTTCTTGCATGTTTGTGAGTGAAGCAAAACGTGATCCAGTAAAATCCAGCTTTATTTCTGAAATTTTTAATTACCATATAGGGAGGAAATATACGAACCGATGACGTTTAAATATCGTAGAGCAAATGCAAGACCAAGACAAAGACCGTTTAGGTCTTGCAGTCTAATAAGTAGTCTTGGTCATGGCCTTGGTCTTGTAGTGTCGTTTTCGCCTTGGTCTAGCACTTTTTTAACATAATTTTACTAGAGACGCTTTTTATATAGAAAATCCTTAAATAAAAATATTTTCAAGCAGAGCTGCAATAAGTCAAATTTAAAAATTTGATAAATAATTTTATTACAAGTCGAGTCATTTTTGTAAAGACTTAAATTAATATAATTACCCTCAAGTCAAGACAACCAGACTTCAATTTAAGTACCTTTTTTTTAAATATTAATATTAATATTCTTGTATCAATTCTTGTACCAATTAGGAGATTTTCTTAGTATCATATTATTAATTTATTGTTGGTATACCTACATATGAACTAACTAAAACCACATAAAATAAAACGGTTAATTTTCAGAACAACTACAAACACAAAAATATGTTTTTTTACAAAATTTAACCGATTTTTTAGTACTTTATATGTATCCATTACTAGTTTAGATGTTTCTATTAAAAAGTGGCGATGTGTGTTGATCACTATGTAATATATCAATATCACAGATCAATATATTCGAGATAAATTTCTTTCGTTCGTCTTTCGGGCTACATAACGGAGTCGGGGATTCACTTGAAAGACAACAGACTCACTACGCACGCGTAACACGACAAATAATTCAAATCGGTTCCGAAAATGTAATATTTTATTTGCTATTGGTATTGAGCGTTGTTTTGGTTTGGTTGCTAGTGGTATTGAGCGTTGTTTTATTCTGCTGCTTGGCTGCCGCCTCAATTTAAAAAGAAATAAATGCTGCTGTTAAAAATTTATCATAAAAATATATAAAAGTCTTTATTTAAGTTAACATAATTCTTTTTCATGACTTAAATCTTTTCTAAAAAGGCTTTTAAATCTTTTTTTTATTTCGGAATAAAGATTTAAATCACAAATCATTTTGAAAAAGACTTAAAAGTAAAGTCTTAAGTTTTTTTGTGAGCTTGCAGCTCTGTTTTCAAGTAATTTAAAGCAAAAGAAGAAGACTTTAAAAAAGA